TCCTACTCCCCTAAACCCCTAAACCCCTAAACCCCTAGGCCCCTAGGCCCTAAACCCTAAACCCCAAACCCCTAAACCCTGACCCTAAGCGTCCAGCCCTCCCCAGGCAGCTCGTCGGCCGCCGACACCCAGCGGCTAGGACACGTCACTGGAGCCAGAGAAGGGCGCGCGGAAGCCGCGGAAGACGTGGCTGCAGAGGTTTACGACTTAGGCCTTAGGGTTCCCAGAGACTCCAATATCCCTTAATTAAGGCATATTCCTTAAATTATAGTAGGATCCCTAATATGATTTAAGGAATATTCCTTAATTAAGGCATATTGGAGTCTCTGGGTTTGAAGGTCTAGGGCTTTAGGGCTTAAGTTTACGTTTTTTTGGTGGGTTTCTGGTTGAGGGTTCAGGGTTTAGGCTTTAGGGTTCAGGGTTTACTATACCCCCCTTAGAGCCATAATTAAAATGATATGGATTATTCTTCTCTTGAACTTTATATGAACAAAAATACAAAATGATTCCTAAGGAGACGATAGTTGACCGTTTAAGGTTTGGGATTTGGGGTTCAGGGCCCCCAACCCTGAACCCTAAGCCCGCAAGCCCTACGTACAGTGAGCATCAACGCTTCAGTCCTTCTTCGGAGAAGCCCGAATAAGTTTCAAAGAACTGGATTTAAGTTTTTTCGTCCGAGAACTGCTATGTAATTATGAGGTCTCCTTGTGAGCTGTGTAGGCTTTGATGCTTGCGGAGATTAAGATCCCAGAGACTCCAATATCCCTTAATTCAGGAATATACCTTAGATCATATTAGGGATCCTATCATAATTTAAGGTATAGTCCTTAATTAAGTGATATTGGAGTCTCTGGGATCGGCCCTTCAAAGTAGGCCTGGAGGTCGGTGGCTATGAAAACGACAGGTTTTGCTCAAAGTACCAGAGGAGCAAACATGACACTGCCGTCATAAGTAGAGACAACCTGTAATTATATCCCAACTCACGAACCCCCTCGATCCTTCAAAACGCTAAAACGCCCTGCAAAACCCGCATAAACCCGCACAGAGCCCTACAAAACCCTCGAATTCCTGCCCACATCCCTCAGAACCTACCTCCCTGAACCGAAGACGCGCAAGCTTCCAATTTGAAACCCGGAGCACCCCCATCCCCATTTTCTATTTTTTCCACGCTCAAGCCCCAGAACTTTCAGAAGCTGCTGCCCGAAATCCAAAATCCTGAGGTCCAAAAATCAACCCTTGAGATCAGAACCAAGATAGAATAGTGAATAGTCATACCATCATCATTGGAATTGTCATGATAGTCGCCATCATCGCACCTACCACCTGCATGACTGCCACAATCATACCCATATGGTAGTTTCCGATAATTAGGGGTTCCGTATTTTGGGGTCCTGACAATAAAAATCCTACTATTTAAAGTACTATATTGGGGTCCCCCCCCTATATTCGGAAACTCCCATAGATCCTATAATGATGGGAGGCCAAAACGGGGGTTTAAGATTCTTCGGGTAGGGATTCCTTGATATGAACCCTAAAATGGGAACCCAAATCCCTGCTAAACCCCCATAGGCTAAAACCCCTTTTGGCCCCCTATGATATAAGACCTTAGACTTAGAGAGTAGGTAGTAAGTAGACTTATAAGTACCCTAAAAGGGACCCTAATTGGGGTTATGGCACTTATGAGTCTATAAAACAACCAGTTACTAAGTCCCCCGACCCTCCAAGTAGAACCCTGGAGGCGACACTTCGAACCCTGGCGGCGAAAACGCGGCATGCGATGCTGCGTGTTGCTGACGGAGTCCATGACCACGATCCTGTCCTTCTCAGACCCAGATGTTCAGGAAAAGAGGGATTTAGGGTTTAATGTTTAAAAGGGTTTAGGGTTTAGGGGTTTAGGGGTTTAGGGGTTTAGGGTTTAGTGTGAAGCCTCGGTGTTCAGGGTAAATTCAGCTTCAGGATCTGGGCTTTTCGATCGAGAGGCTTAGAGCCTGCTTGGAGGGTCGGGGGACTTAGTAACTGGTGATTTTATAGACTTACAAGTACCATAACCCCAATTAGGGTCCCTGTTAGGGTACTTAAAAGTCTACTTGCTGCCTACTTACTAAGTCCCCCGACCCTCCAAGTAAAGCCTAAACCTTCGGCTCAAGGCTTGAAGGATTCGGGCTTTGAGGCTCGGAACGGTATAGGGTTTAGGGTTTCAGGCTTGAGGAATGCAAGGTTTCGGCTTCAGCCGTTGGGCTTTTGGATCAAGGGCTTCGGCGTAAGGCTTGACCTGTGGAAGCCGTCCAAAACCCCAAACCCCTGAACCTCAAACCCTAAGCCCTAAGCCCTTTAGATTATGGAAGCCCAAACTCTCTGCCACCTCAGTCCCTCCCGAAAGAAGCTTCGCTACATCCTGTGGTGCAGGGCGAACCGATCTCCCGACAAACACCTTTACGGATTGCAGGGTATGAGGGGCTGAATTTGTACCCGTACAGTCACAGTCACCCAGCTGAACGACTTCCGCTGACTTAGTCCGTCTGTCGCAGCTTTTGGTAGGGTTTCACCTCTGCTTTTTTGATGTGTCTTCTTTGCTTCTCTGTTTCTTGTAGGGACCAAGCGCAGCAGCGGCTGTCACCGAGGCCCGCCCACGCCAAAAACTGATCTCCCGATAAACACCTTTGCCCTGAAACCTTGCAAAAGGCGGCTAGTACCCAGACCCCCGGGAGTATCCAAAAAGCAGATCCCTATAAAGTACCCTTAGTAGTATAGGGCCCAAATTAGGCGATCTACTTTTCAGATCCTCCCGGGGGTCTGGGTCTATGCTAGTATCTTCAACCAGTTGGAAAGCTATCTTCGGTTTCGGGTGGAGCGCTTGAGGCTTTTACGGAGCAGGGTTTGAAGTCATAGTACCCCCGAAACCCTAAACCATAAACCCCTCTAAACCCTGAACCGTGGGTGGTGATACTGTTGATGATATAAATCCTGCATTACCCATAAAAAGGAATATACCATAATTCCCATACTTTTGGGTCCTTAACCCAGACCCCCGGGAGGATCTAGAAAGTTGATCCCCTAATTTGGGGCCCTATACTACTAAGGGTACTTTATAGGAACCCCCATTAAAGGATCTACTTTTTGGATCCTCCCGGGGGTCTGGGAAGGTAATGCAGGATTTCTATCATCAACCGTAGCCACAGGCGGTCCCCAGGAGGAAGCCCGGCGAGGCCCCTGCAGGTAAAGTCTTTAGGGTTTAGGGTTTAGGGTTCAGGGTTTAGGGTTTGGGGCTTAGGGTTTAGGGTTTAGGGTTTAAGGCTTATGGCATTTAAAGCCGATTTCGAGGTTTTTGGCCTTGGGTTCGGGGTTTCTGCGTTTAGGGTTCGGATTTCCATGCTTGGGATTGGGGAGTGGTGAAGGATCTAAGGTTTGTGGTCTGCTTGGAGGCTCATGGGATTTAGTAAGTAAGGTTATAAGTAGGTTATACTTAGGATAACCCCACTTAGGGGACTTATAATCCCACTTATAACCTACTTACTACGTCCCATGATCCTCCAAGTGGGGTTCTATGGTGGAACTAGGGTGGTTGATTCAAGTCTGTGGGGTTTCTGTATAAGTTGAAAGGCGAGCTGATTGCAATGGTTCCAGAGTGTAGCAAGGAAAAAAGGCAGCTGCGGTGACACATACACTGTGCTAGGGCCTGGGGTATACCCACACGAATGACGGCAAGACTTCTTTTTTTCAGAACAACTCCTCACAGAAATCAAACCCTGAATGCGCAAAAAGATAGCTGAATCAACTTGGTTCCATCCTTTCCTTCGGGCCAGACTTTCGCCCTTCAGAAAAATCAGGGTTTCATCAGTGCTCAAGTTCGGATCTACAGAGTTTGACTGCGGGTTAGCGTGCAGGGTTCAAAGCTTGAAGGATTGATGATGCTAGGAATTATTGGGGCTGTCACCAGGTTGCACAATCTGACAGAAGAACCCTAAAGCCCAAACTCAGAACCCTGAATCCTATCATTTAAGTGCTGCGTCCGTTCAGTCAGCTTCTAGATCAGAACTTCGGCGTTCGGATGTGCATCCGCGCTCCGAATTGAAGCCCTGAATGAACACTAAGCTTGAGCCGTATTGCGTACAGTTGTACAGGGTTTAAGGTTTAAAGTTTAGGGCCAAAATTTAGGGGCACAGGCAAGCTGCACCTCATGCATCGCTCGTCAAGCTGATGAGCTTCCTGGAAAACCAGCAAGTCCGCCTCACAGTGCCAAGAGGCCAACTCTGGCTTGGAGGAAAAAGAGCCCATGTCTGTGGCTCTCTAAACCCAAACATCTAAATCTTGAGGGGTGCTTGAAGCCAAACTTCGGGATCTGGGCCTCCTCCATGATCGCCAACGCTGCCAGCAGCAGCTTCTGTGTGTGGCTAGGTCTGTAAATCTATGCCGAAACCTGACGCAGCAATGCCCACTTTCATTAGATTCTTGCCAGAATATACTGCGAAAACCTATCAAACAGACTACAGCATGCTTTACACGGCCATTATCGTTTTAGTACAAAACCTGCTCGAACAACATCGAATAGCAGAACATTTCCGGATGCTGACATTAGAACGTCATGACTTTGCTTCTGCTCTGCCATCCTTGAACCCCGAAGTGCAAATCTAGTTGCCATCCTGCACTTCTGCGGCTTCCAATTCTGCGAGTTCCGCAACACATTGCCTGTGCCCGCGACAACGAAGCATCAGCCTTCGCTTCACTACTTGGAGGATCATGGGACTTAGTAAGTAAGGTTATAAGTAGGTTATACTTAGGATAACCCCACTTAGGGGACTTATAACCCCACTTATAACCTACTTACTAAGTCCCATGATCCTCCAAGTACTCATGGCAAGTTGACTGCATCCTGGGGAGGACCATCTACTCTTGAGTTCCGCTCTCCCTGTCCGCTTTTTCAACTCTCAGGCGAAAGCGCCGTTGGGAATTGTGTCTTCTGCATGCCCATCGCTCTGCACAACTGTTCGAAGCAGAAACTACTACTTCCCTCTAGGCGGTGGAGGCGGCTTTCCACCTGACAGCTCCGACCCTTGTTGAGTGCTGCGACGGGTGCTCCCTTGGGTGCTTTGGTCATACACGGAACTCCACCACGACTGCTCTGTTTGCCCCGACGTGCCCGACATAGCCGATTTCGGTGGGCCAGCAGAGCCCCAGAAGGAGTCGGGAAGCACCCGCTTGCCTACCAGAACACCAGGAGGCGGCTTCCCACTTGACACTTTCGTCGACCCGGTCTCAGTGGAGTCTGCGGAGTCAGCTGTGCCGAGCTTTGCCCAGAAGGAGTCATCGTCCAGTGAGTCCGGAGGCGGTGCCGAGGATTTTCCGGCGGATCCGGCAGTAGGAGCCTTCCCCAGCAGAGGCTTCATCATGTCCTTTGCTAGAGGTACCGGCCCCTTTGCACGCGGAGGTCGCAAAGCCTCCTTCTCCTGCGGAGCCGGAGGTGGCAACGCATCCTTCTCTGGTGGAGGCGGAACAGCGTGCTTTGATCGCGGGGGTGGCAGCGGAGCTTGCGGCGGCTCCTCGCACTTCTTGGGACCGGGCTGGCGCATGAACCAGATATATGTCCCTTCATCCCACATGAGCATGGCATAAGCGCCAGCGACTCGCTGCCAGTGGCCCAGACCACCCGTGCCCATCATGACCTGGATTCCGTAGCCGGGCCACTTGGCCGCGGCCTTATCACCGATGCACTCACACATCTGCGTCTTGCTCGAGTCTACGCATTCAGGGGCTGCGTAGTCTCTCAACCATTCGAGGTCTTCCTCGGACATCCTCGCGGATCGCAGCACGTACGGGTAGATTAGTCCTGGCTGCGGGCTCTCCGGGCTGCTGCCCGTGTGGCGTACTGCGGCACAAGCTGAGACGAAGAGAGCAGCGACGATGGCTTTCATGGTCTCCAGGCACAAAGCTCCGAGTCCAGTGTTTCACAAACAACGGTTTTCCGACGCAATCGATAGAGTTCTGACACTCTTCTGGTTTGAGCAAGCAACAGAGGCGCACTTGCAACAAGGGCAGAAACAACCGCAAACACATGAATGCAATCTCAGATGCCTCTCTCCACGCCACTGTAGCTGGTCTCGCAATAAAACATGCAAAATATTGCAAGATTCTTCACTGGCTTCGTAGATGTCTATGACTCTGCGATATTTGCACTCTGAGCTCCTGCATTCCGTTAAGCAAAGCCTGAAGAGCTTCCGGCACCTCAGAGGAAGAAGAAAGGGTGAGGGATCAGAAAAAATTAAATAAGGATCAAAAAATTAAATGGAAGGATTAAAAAAATCAGGATCAAAAAAATTAAATCAATACAAAAACAGCAATTCCTGGTGCAGAGGAATCAATAAATACAGGAAACCTGAATTATAAAACAAATATTTTAAATACAGCACTTCTTGCGTTTTTGCCAGGGTAAACACTATTTTCCTACGGATTCTCTTTCATTTCCTGAGGATTTGCTTGGTTTTTTCCTCTGGAATACACGATTTTCCTACGGATTCCGTGTTATTTGCTTAAGTATTCATTGGTTTTTCCTAGGAAAAACGCTATTTTCCTATTACCTATGGCGTTCGTGTCATTTCTCGAGGTTTTCAGAAAGAAAACATACGTTACAAGGTTATTTTTTGGGAAAATCAAACTTTCCTTACAGTTTCGCATTTAGGACGGATTTCGTGTTGTAATTGTTGCTGGTAGTGTTGTTGTCGTTGTGGCTGTAATTGTAGCATGTTGTTGTTGTAGTTGTGCTAATAGTGGTAAAAGTAGAAGTAGAAGTAGAAGTAGAAGCTTTTGAGCTTTGCACGCAGCAGAGGGAGTCCGTCCGCCATGCGTCGGGAAAAGAGCGGACCACTTCAAGGGCCCGGAACCTGATGGTTCATGATCTTTGATCACCTCTGGAGAGGGACAAACAGCACACACCGTTCCGTAGAACCATTGAGCATGTGTGTTGCCCAGTTGCTAAGCATCTATGAGCGCTCCGGCGAAACATTACTCAGACTGTAGAAAACAGCATAGCAGGATTTGTGTTGGGCAACCGTGAGCTTGCCCCGCCGGATAGCAGTCCGCTCATCGTTGCAGCACCAAAAGCCATCCTGTACAAGTGTGGCGGTATAATGCCCGGTGGATGGGAGATTGCCATGGTGCTCAATGAATGCGCTCAGTCGGTACTCTGCATGATGCACATCCGACCTGGGCCCTCGAAGAACAGGTACGCGAAGTGTGCTATCCAGATGTACCTGAATATGGTTCTTGACGACTCGACCTCGACTTTGGGTAAATCTGTGTAGCTGTAAAATGAGAGCCGGGGGCACGATGTCCAAACCGTGGATACGATCTATGCACCGATGCCAATCATCAACTAGATGCTGATCCTGGGTGGTTCAGTGTTTCTGGAGGATGCCGGCAAATGGAGAATGATAGGCTGAGTGCATCGCCCCGCATCCAGTCGATGAAAAACCCCAGCCATGATTGGCGTTCGCGCCAACCATGAGCCTGCGAATATGCCAAAGCTGGAATGAGTCGTGAGGTGTGAGAAGAATTCACAAACATCATGTTGTCGATGTGCCTCACCCCAACCTTCAAGCAGTTTCTGCCACCTTCGATCATGTATCAACGTGAGGGGTGCAGTATTTGCACGTTGAAGAATACTGAGGAAGAAGCTGTCAGCATCATTGTCCGATGACAATCCCGTGCTCCCCAGTTGTTCAAGCAACCATGTGACAACCTGGACAACCGTGTTCATGTAGCATTGATTGCCCGTGTTTCGAAGTACAAGCTGAGTGGCCCGCTTAGAAGAAGATGAAGAAGAGGAGGCAGCAGGTGTCACTGCTGGCCGTACATTAAATCCCGAATGCGTTGCTCCATGGGGCTCCGGCCGAGGGTCTCCGTCTTGTAAGTGGTGCCGATGAGCTGGAAGATCGCATTGTTTTGGAGAATCCTCAGCGTCTCCCAAAGCGTTGTTGAGAACTGGCTCCTGAGAGACACGTCCATGACAAAGGTAGCCTGAGTCGTCATTGTCTCTGTGAGTTTGCGTTTGCACCGGAACCTGTTCACTATGGGATGCTTGAGACATTGTACCCAGGAGGCTCAAAACTTTCTTAAAACCCGGAGGGTTTAAGGAAAGGGTTTAAGGAACAGGGAGCGACAGCAGTACGCACACGGAGACTTCGTTTTGGTCCGCACAGCCCGACATCACACAGTGCAAATGACACCTCCTGCATACAGGAGATGACGAGAGGGATTTGCCCCCCCCATCCAGATTGGGCTGTTATGAACAGACCATATGAGAAATAATATACAGGGTGGGCCGGGTGGGACACTAAAAGGACTAAGAGTCCCCTTCCGGTTGATCCAGAATGTATCGGCGTAAGATATATCATTGAACTGACAAGGGGCGAACCGCCCTCAACTCAAATAACATAAAATCATAGGCGACTGAAATGATAAATCAAAGATTTGGAAAACACCTCCTTTGAGGAGGAGTGTTCAAAGATAAGACTTCTTTAAAATCATCCTCACCTGAATGTTTCGCCAAAGGGAAAACTGAAAAGCATCGCGAGCAAAGAACACTGAAAACTGCAAGCAACTGACATGACTGACATAACTGACATGACTGAGAGCAACTGCATGCAGGCCGTGGACCGAAGCACGATGGCTGAGGCGTACAGAACTGATAGTGGTCTCAAGCCCCCATTGTTCCCCCCCTCCCCCCCGGGCCTCCTTGGAACAAACTGTTTGGTCCGCTTCGCTACCCAAACTAGGCTTGTACCCAGGAGGCTCAAAACTTTCTTAAAACCCGGAGGGTTTAAGGAAAGGGTTTAAGGAACAGGGAGCGACAGCAGTACGCACACGGAGACTTCGTTTTGGTCCGCACAGCCCGACATCACACAGTGCAAATGACACCTCCTGCATACAGGAGATGACGAGAGGGATTTGCCCCCTTTCGCAGACGAGGGCATCTCCTTTCCCTCATCCCCACTGACTTTTCTCGAACCTTATTCGAGGAGCTGAGGTTGTTCCATCATCCGCAATCGAGGCCTTGATGGAATCAAGTTCAGACTGAAAGCTCGCGAATCTCAAGAGAGACGGCAGAACTGATAAGGTCATATCTGACCAGCTGAAAGGCAGTCTCAAGTTTTCATCGAAGTCCTCGAAAACATGTTTGGTGATGCGGTCCGCCTCCTGATTGGAGTCCCTGGGTCTCCAGCTGAGGTTGCATCTGAAACCCAGAGCGTCACAAAAGGTGACGAACTCCATCACCACAAACATGAGAGGCACTCGAGTCGTGAGCAGCTTGCAAGACAGCGCCTCGGCAGATTTATTATCAGTCCCACCACAGAAGCAAGCACGGAAGTGTCCAGGAACTGACCAAAGATCCTTGAAGTCACGTCTCAACAAGTGTAGCGCCGCAAGCGAAGCAAGAACCTCAGCCGAAGTGCTCGCCCACGAACTGCCCGAATCCTTCTTGAACAACCAAGGAGCGTCGTCCCTGCTCAAAGTGATCTGAAACCATGGGGCCTTCTTTGGCTCCGGCCCTTTGTGCAAAAACCATCCGCCCAAGACAACCGAAGAATCATTGCAAGCGGCATCCGTGCGGAAAAGCTCCCCACAGTCCTTCTCAAGACGGCCCGATTCGTAAGTACGAGCACCGTGCCTCAAGCGGTCAGCGATAAACCTCAAGACACAACGGATAAGATTGGGAAGCGCGAGCACAGCCCCCTTCCTCACAGCAGCCAGCCAAGCGTAACCAGGAGCCAAGAAGGGCCTAATCCAAACTAAGACCTGGGACATGAAACCGAGTCTCCCGTGAAGCTCATGAAATCGTCGGACATCCACAAGCCAGCCGTTTCCCTCCATGGATTCGATGCCACTGATGATCCAATGGCACCTCCTTTCAGATATTCCCAGCTTGAAGCGTCCATAATCAATCCAATAACCGACCCAATCAAGTTGCAGTCCCCCGCGCCACTTTCGTTCTGAAAAGGGGGTCCCCTGAAGGCATAGTAGCGCAAGGGACATCCAGAGATTGAGCCAGCGATCGGGTCCCCCACTGAGCACGTGTAGATCATCGGCATAAATGAGCATGAAGAGGAATGACTGAAGAAGAACTCTGAGGGAAAGCCTGCCCACGAGACCGATGATCCGCGCAAACCAATAAGCCGCTGAAGCAATTCCGAAAGTCCCGGTGCGATTGACCCAGACCACAGAGGAATCGCTCCTCGTTCTGCAGGAGAGCACCCCCCAATGGTCGGGATGGTGCAAGTAGCGTCTGTGCGCCTTTTTCACGTCCCCCACGAGCCCGAAGAGGACTTTCTCATCAGACACGCTGCCCAGCTTTTGGATCGCGGACACTTCCCTAGCCCCTGGCGATTCAAGACGGTCCAGCATAACAATCTCATTGTTAACGTGGACCCCGTGGGTCCCATCATGGACCACACGAAAATCTTGGTCAGGTTTCGGAATCACTGCCTGCGCTGCAATACGAAGTGCCGCCCCCGGATAGCGGGCCCGGGCCTCTGAAAGAGAGAGTGGGAACATACGGCCTTCTGCCTCTTCTTTTGCAAATGCTTCCTCAAGCGATTTTGCAACCTCAGGGCCGTCCCGATAATTATCCATCAGCGGTTGCCAATCGGACTCATCGTATTTCTGATCCTTTCGACGAGCTCTGAAGACTTGAGGGACCGGCCCCAATGGCGCAGTGTGTCCGACCTCCACACCATTCACGAAGCAGAACTTGCCCTCCTCGATGATGCGGTAGTCGGGATCCTCCAAGATTTTTAGGGTCTGTGCCATTGCCCTCAAGTAGAATGGCTGATGAGGAATCAGCTCCCTTGCTCGTGCAGGATCCGGCAGCATGCAGAACCAGTCCTCGCGAAGTTTGTCCATTGCCTCCGGAGCGAACAAGGGACCATTCCAATGCCCCGTCGCCAGACGAAAAGTCGCTTTTGCCAGATCAGGCACGTTTTCAAGAACAAACTTTCGAACACGATCTTTAAGCTGTTGTGCAAAGGAAGCGGCGGCAGGAGACATGTGGCGCCCCCGGCAGATAGGTTTCCAACGCCCCGGCGAGCATCTACCGAAGCCGTCCACAAACTCGTCAGTCGCCCCTGCGAACTCGCCCACCAAGGGCGGTCCCTCACAGCCAGACTTCAGCTCACTATAAGGTAGGTCCTCGATCTCCTTCCCATCGTCGCCAGCATCCCCTGCGGTCGTGGTCTCGCAGTGGTCCCGCTTTCGCTTTCCTGGCAGGTCGAATCCCAAGTCAAGTAAAGCATCCCGGTCCGATTCAGCGAGCTGCCCATCGTTCGCAATGGTGTACCCGGCCAGGACCAAGCGACAACCTTCCCAGTCCTCCGTGGAATGCCAGACATGTGGATCGAAGGTAATCTTGCCGCCGTCCCAGTCCAGGATATGACCCGACAGCAACGAACCACTTATGAAAAGCCGCCCTCCGACTGAACCCAAAGACCGCCCCCCGAAAACCCTGAACAGGCCAAAAGCAGATTGTCAAAAGGTCCGTTCGTGGTGTCCCGATGCGGCGGTTGCTTAAGATCACGAAAGAATGCTAAAGAAGTAAAGGGTCGGCCAGGGAAGCCACACGAGAGCAGCTTGGCCAAAAGCTCTGAAGACAAAGGAAAGCTCCTCGTGTTGCGCCTGATGCCAACCTTGTCAGAGTGAACAAAGGCTCCTGCAGTGAACGATCGCTGGCCTTCGATCACCCTAGAAGTCTGTCGAACTCTGTCTTCATCCGGCAGCAATTCAGAGATGCGCAGAAGTTGCCCGTGCGAAATTGTCCCACTCCTCAAGCATTCTGCAGCAAGTCGCTCCGCAGGGGAAGCGCCCGAGCCAGCCTCCACTTCCCTCGCTGGAAACTGAAAACCCGGTCCCAGCACCAGTGTAGGAGCCAATGCAGCCAGTGTTCCCCCCCCCATCGAAGACGGAGAAACACCATTCAGCAATGGTTCTGCACAAATCGTCCGGGTAGGCCGCGGCCGCGGAAGTAGCGGCAGGCCCGAGCAGTTTTTGCTGATGCCGATGACCACAGTACTTCGGCAAAGGGCCGAGGTATCGATCTGAAGCGTCAAACCGAGGCGGCCCAGTGAAGGGCATTCGAGAAGTAACCGGAATAGAAGACAGAAAACGTGTGGGCTTGGGCGAAAACGCCCCATATTGGCATTGGTATACTGCGAAAGTGATGACATTCTCATGCTTGAAGAGAGCAACGGCCTCCGGTAGCTGCCAAATGGAAGCCGGAGCATGACCGTTGGAAGTGAGTCCCAAATCTTCAGGATGCTCAAGTAGAAAAGGTACTGAATTCGAAAGCGCATTTGTGCAGATGTCAAAGGCAAAAGAAACAAGCTGGTTGCCATGTTCAACAAGAGCTCGGTGAGAATCGGACAGCCAAGGAAAGCCCCAAGGATAAAGACGTGATCGCAGTGGCCGAGGACCCGGCTGTACACACCGAGCCCGCGAAAAGGTCCCACAGGGTGGGGTCACCAAGACCACATCCCACTCAGAATTCTTAACCTCCTGCAAACATCGATCGGCGATGGCAGGATCCAAAAGGTCTAGCTTGGGATCGCGGCAGATGTCAATTTCTGACATTACCAAAGTGATACTCTGTGCCTTGCAAAGCGCCTCCAGGGAGCCACGAACATCCGATTTGCGAGACGGACCTGAAAACAGATACAGCACGCGAAGCGTAGGACGTATCCCTGAAGTACAATCGCCAACTGAATTCAACGGACCACGGCGAAGTCAGGAACCACCTTGTGCGCCGTGTTGATATGCCGGATGGTTGCCCTGGCAGCCCTTCACGCGACACGCGTGGACGCGCTGGCATCCCTTGACCTGACATCCACGCTTGATATTGTAGGCATAACAAAGCTCACGACCATCCGGAGTCTTGGCCACCAACTCATACCAGGACTCCCCGACCTGAATCTTGCCAGTGGACTTGCCCCCTTTGCCGTCCTTGCCACCCTTGCCGTCCTTGCCGCCTTTTTCCCCTTTGCCGTCCTTGCCCTTGCGGGGCCACTTTGGAGGGGGAGGATCATGAGCGGCCGAACGTTTTGACAAGGCGACCTGAGAGGTGAAGTGGAGCTCCTTGAGCTCGGTATTCCGAGTGGCCTCATACAACTTGTCACCGAGCGGGGTACCGTCGCGATGGGCCTCCTTGATAGCCCACTTACGAAGCTCAAACTCGTACTGAAGCAGGACATTCCAAGGCACCGACAGTGCCTGTTTCTCCGCATGAGAAGAGCTTGCGGGAGCATTGGAAGCCACTTGCATGCTGTAACACTTGTCACCCAACAGGAACTCAAGGAAACGATCAAAGTGTGACAGCTGCAGCCCCTGCAAATATGCACGACCGCGACACTTGGCTGAGAGCATGACCCAAGTGGAGGCCTCGAGGCGAAGCTTCGCCCGCAGCTCCTCCGTATTCTGCGGAAGGCGACCCTTTGGCTTCTGTCGCATGACCCGAAGCCGGCCCTGATTGTCCAAGGAAGTCTGAAGCTGAAGCGAGTTGGACTCTTTTCGAGAAATAACTTCATCAAGATAGCTGGCAGTGGGCTCGCCATTCTCAATCTGTTCAAGCTTGTGTGCCAAATACTCAGGCGCCGGCTCCTCGGACTCCGGCACGGTGTAGCCTCGAACAGCTTCCAGGGCGACCCGCATGGCCGCGCGATCCGAAGAGGCGAGTGGCTTCTGAACACCCAAAACCTTAGCCTCAGCACGAAGCTTAGCCTCCTCCTCGCGAATCATCTTGGAAGCTGCCCAAGCAGTGATGATGCATGCCATCCTAGCTCGATCCGCAGCGCTCTCAGGCCTGATAGCGAAATCGGCTGTAATCGCAGTACGTGCTGCACCACGATCATCGGCGAAAGCAGCAAAAGTGCGAATGCTCTTGTAATGTTGACCGATAGCAAACTGAAGTGCCAGATCGACCCCATGTTCCTCAAGAAGGAACACAAAGTCTGCATCCACATTAGCCTGAAGATATGCACGCTGTGCAGCTGGGTCCGCGGCCATGGCGGACCACCGCGGTTTGTCTACGATCGAGTTACCTAAAAGTCTGACAGATGTCCTGATGCTGAAGGCTGAAACCCCGGAGGGAAGCTGAAAGCGAAGCAAGCTTCTCAGATCTGATAGCTGTCACCACGTGACACTCATGTCCTGATAACTGAAAGGGATCCTTGAGCAAGTCACCGGCATCCCACAGAATTTGCGCAGCGTGACGCCCGAGCTGAAAGCATCAACAAATGGACTGAAAGTGCACTGAAAGTTGCACGCAGAGCGCACTCCCATCTTTGTTCACACACACTTCCAACGAGTTGCATCACGTGTGAAAAGACGGGTCAGCCACCTTGAGTGGTTCTGCTGGCTCACCCAAGTCCGTGGAGGAAGACTCCCCCGAACTCGAAGATGAGCTCTCCTTATCACGATAGCATAATTTGCAGAAGCTGTCGGCCACTGAGGAGTCAACCTTCCACACCTCAGCGAAACGGTGACAGCTACCGGGAGTGACCCAGCAGCCATTCCGTATGCGCAGTCGCCTGTGCCCTGAGTGCCTGCTGATGCTCACCCAGAAAGGAGACTCTCCAGAATCTTGTGAAGAGTTTGAAATCAACGGGGCCGGGGCAGCGTCGTCCGACCTCTCGGTGATGTCATGAAGCAGTGGCCATCTCTGATTCAAAACCTTGCATCCATCCACGGTGCGCATCACGGAGTGAAGCTTAAGCCAAGGTTCAGGGTCCAAGCCTCTCCTCTGAAGCCAGGCCCTAAGCTCATCAAACAACTCCTCCTCATCGTAGCCAGGTTTGCCGCCCGAAAGTTTGTCACAAACCCGACGCTGCAAATCATGCACGATCTGGCGACATGTGTGTATGTAATCCGCACTCTGGTGCAGACCAACATGCCACCTGCCAAGGTAATCCCTCTGCTCCTTTGGAACGCCAAGCACCGCTGCAATCGTTGGCAAAACATGTCTCATACTGTGACCTGTCCAGAAAAGATAGCACTCATCACCCAGTAGCTTCCCCTCAGCCCTGGATCTCCAAACACCTTCACCAAGCTTCCTGAAAGGGACCAAAAGTTGGCCCCAAATAAGACGCATGTAATTGCTAATAACCTCCGGCTTGGCGAATTTGTAAGATGGCTCCTCAAAATCTTCAGAAGACTGGAAAACCAAATAAGTGCGATCAAGCTGTCCCAGGCCCTTCCACAAATCAAATCCAATGCCCAGCCAATCACGTCCTGAAAGCCCGACACACCTGCCTATAAAGAAAGGAACTTCGGCCACCTTCTTATCAGGTCCAGTCGTCTTGGTCTTCACTAAAAAGCCCTTAAGCCCCTCACGAAAAAGCCTAAGGCGAGAAACGTCGATTCCTTGCAGATCAGAGACACGCATGCAAGCCCATACGCAAACCAAGCAAGCCCACATCAGGCACCGAGCATAATGAGGGTTCGTACCAGTCACCACAAAAATTTCCAAAGATAATAACATCGCCACCGAAAGGGGAGCCGCCTGCTTCCTGCTGGTTTTCCCCTCCTGCACTTCAGCCCCGGTGCTCTTTGAGGCCGCGACGACCAATCGGTTCTTGCACAGCTGATTTGTCAAAGGAACCTGTCCAGCATCCTCAATGACAGACAATGCGCACATAAGCTCAGAAATGCAGCTCTTTGTACCCACCTCCTGCTCCAAGAAGATGAGGTAATCTACAACGTCAGAAGGACTCTTCGGGAAAGGGTAACCTTTCACTGAAAGCATCCAGTCACGAGCCTTGCGCCAGGTCCTTGCACGATTCCTGAGTGTCTTGGACCTCCGAGCTCCCAGGGCTCGGAGAGCATAAGAAACACGCTGCTCCTCATTCTCAACCGGAATGTCAACGATAGGAAGCTTTGCCTCCACCATGATCTGAACCAGGACAGTTCCCCAAAATTTCTTAGAAGATTTTTCTGCATCCGCCGGGGTCCCGGCGCCATTCGAAATCCATCTAGCATGTGCACGACTGGTCTGCTTGCAAAGATCAAGACTATTGCTCACGCACTGATCGAAGATATCACAAGGAGACACCAAATTTCCAGGGTTCGCTTCAATTCGTGTGGCCTTCGCAGTAAGCCTGCTTTGCACCCGCTTGAAAAGACCTGTGTGAGCAGTCATCCACTCCCAGATCTGAGATCCCAACCGTTTGTGGTCCGAAGGAATCGAACCCGGAGTGATCTGCTCTGCCAATCGCACCGCGTCTTCAACACTGTCCACTGCGCATGCCAGGTGCCAAGGAGTCTGAAAATGAATGCGAAGCAAACCCACAGCACTGCAGCCTTTCTCTTCAAGAAGGCCCCACAGCCTATCTTCCATTGCGCGAAGAAGCCTGAAAAGGCGCCCCCCAGACACTAAAAGGACTAAGAGTCCCCTTCAAGTTGATCCAGAATGTATCGGCGTAAGATATATCATTGAACTGACAAGGGGCGAACCGCCCTCAACTCAAATAACATAAAATCATAGGCGACTGAAATGATAAATCAAAGATTTGGAAAACACCTCCTTTGAGGAGGAGTGTTCAAAGATAAAACTTCTTTAAAATCATCCTCACCTGAATGTTTCGCCAAAGGGAAAACTGAAAAGCATCGCGAGCAAAGAACACTGAAAACTGCAAGCAACTGACATGACTGACATAACTGACATGACTGAGAGCAACTGCATGCAGGCCGTGGACCGAAGCACGATGGCTGAGGCGTACAGAACTGATAGTGGTCTCAAGCCCCCATTGTTCCCCCCCTCCCCCCCGGGCCTCCTTGGAACAAACTGTTTGGTCCGCTTCGCTACCCAAACTAGGCCTGTAGGATCGTAGCCAAGTGGTCCAGGAGCTGGTCGTCCGGGATAGGAGGTTGGGCCTGATCGATTTCGAGGTGTTTCAAGGTGGGGTTCCATTTCTGGAACCGCCACCCTGTCTCGGTTCGCCATCCACTGGCCGTCACCTTCTGAAGTTTCTCCTGAGAGGCCAGGACCAAATTCAAGCGATCGGTCAACTCCTTGAACAGAGATACCGCGAGAACCATCCGAAGGGGAACATGTCCTAGCTTCCATCCTGGATCTGCCTCCTGTTGCTGTTTGAATTTGACCGCGGTTTGGTAGAGATGGTTCAAGATGGAGTGCTCCTCCGCTCGTAGAAATAGTATGTAGGACGTGTCTTGGCGGAGGACTTGCAGCTCCTCCTGCTGCTTTAGCACTGTCTTTGCCAAAGTAAAGAGCAATGGATCCCTGTGCGGAGCTCGAGGCGGATGCGGGACCTGATGGTAAGGAGGTGGTCGAAAAGGTGACGGTGTCGGCCGGTAAGTCCCGAACGGGTCTCGTCTCCGTTTGTTGGGAGTGGTAAATGGGTTCCTTGCCGCCCCCGTTGGTGGCATGGCCCCCGGCATCTCCTCCATCTCGTGAAAATCCCCGAAGAAGTCCGCCATGTCCTGGTCCATCCCGTGCATCCTGATTTAGGGCGCACATCATGGCACATTGCCATAAAGCTGTGCACTTATGCAGGTGTGCCTTCCAGTCCTTGGTCCGTCGCTGGCAGAAATGGCAGGTACTGCTTGGTGTGGCTTTTTGTGTGATAAGCAGTTGTGCCTGGTGCTGACAGCGTTGCAGGATTGCTCCATGTGAGTGCTTGTAGTGTGTCTTCATAACCTTGTGAGTGGCCGTCCATTGTCCGCAAAGTGCACAATGTTGAAGGAGGTGTTGGTTGATGGTAGGCACATGTATGAAATGATTCAAACCCTTGGCGATCGTGTTCTGTACGAGAGCCATCTGCACAACTGGACAATCAAGTTCCTGAGGAGGTTGTGAAGTGGTTGTTTGATGTCGAGGCGTAGGGCTCGCAGCTTTTGCCGGGATCGAAGATTCATCCAACTTAATGTCAGTTGTCGTAGGCTTGGCTTCCTGATGTTTGCTGACCTGGTTATGGGCAGTCTGTGCAACCTCAACTGGGCACGAATTGTTGTTAATATGCTGTTCCAAAGTTTGCCAGCGACTGAATTTCCGCAGGCACCCGGCACACTGTGGTAAACCACGTAGAGCGTGCTTGCTTTTGTCAAAGATTTTGCGAGGTTCATCAACTAGCTTGTGTGCTCGCCGTGCATGGATCTTCAGAGCTGCCGTACTCGTGAACTGCTCTTCACATACTGGGCATGCCCACAGCTCTTGTTCTGCATCAGACTCAGGCTGACCGACGACCTGATTCCAGGCTGGATCGATCATCCAATCGCCATAAGGTTCCAACTCAAGCTCCCGACGATGCGCGGTCTCAAGCAGACAGCTGGCCGTCCTGATGTTGTATTTGTTCATGATTGTATCATGCGTGGTGCCAGTCAGGAAAGCTTGGTCCGATACAATGGCCCTGACATGTTTCATAATCGTCTTCTGTAAAGAGTGAAGGAGACCTGCAGAGAGACGAAAACAATGTAGGGCGTACATCATCGTGGGAGAGCACACAGCTTTGCCATAATTGCAGCTTATAAGCGATCGACATGCGCTTGGTGTGTAGTATAGGTGCCAGTGCCCAGCGGCGATGATTGGCCTTAGCAAGTCGATGTTGAACCGACTGTTTTTCGAAGTGACGGTAGGAGATGATGAGACCAAGATATTCCGCCTTGTCCACCAGAAGCACCCACTGCGAAGGATCACCGGGTGATAGAAGAAGTCGACGCTCAGAGCCTTGTTTACGGACAAAGAGTTTGTGGATTTTGTGCTTGATTGGACCGGTGACTGATAGTATAGCCTGGGTCTTGTCGTTGTTGACCTTCATTCCGAGTCTCCTGAAGACGGCGAAAACACACCGAAGTTCGTTGATGGCCTGTTCAAATTCTTGGACCGTGGCAAAAGTCCACTTCAAGTGAGTGTCGTCTGCATATAATGTGGCGTGGTCCTGACACCACTGTGCTTGCAGTCGCAAGTCGATAGCCTTCGCCAAAAGTGCCGTAAAGGCGGCCCATAGCACGGGCGATCCCGAGCATCCTTGCCTGAGCCCCCATGATGGCCAAATGTTTTGTTCATGATTCTTGTGCCTGAAGATGTAACGTACTTGGCTGAGCCAGAGGAGAAGGATTTCTTGTACTGATACATCGGTGGCTGCCATCTCAAGTGCCTCTCGAATGGAACTCCAAGACACTAAATCAAAAGCGGAGGAGAGATCCATGCAGATCTGTAGTCCGCTGCTGCTGCTGACTTTAGTGACTCCTGCTTGTTGTTGGTGTGGTGTGAGTCTGTGCTTGTCTGCCATGTCCCGCACATAAGAGCAGTGTGAATACACCCTCTTCAGAGCAGTGAACGTGTTTCGATGTGACACATATGCTGTCTGAGGGTAGAAGTAGACGAGGTTGTGTATGTGGTGTTTCGCTTTGGAAATGACAATGGACATCAGTCCTTTGCCAAGTGGATGTTGTATGCCAATGGGACGCCAGCTGTTGGGAGTGTCGTTTCGGTTTTTGGGCTTGGGGAGAAGAGCAACATTTGCATCCGCCCAGTCCTGCCCGATGGAGATAACGTCCTGTTGCCAGGCCCAATTGACCTGTGTTGTGATGAAAGGTGTAATCTCCGTAGCGCAAGCTTTCCACAATATTGAGGGTGCAGCTGTAGAAGGGACCGCCTTGCGGACCGGTAGATGCTCAAGGTGATGCCAGACTTCGCATTCCTGAAGTTGTAGTGGAGGATGTTCTCGAGTTTTACCGATGGGTGGTTGTGGACGGGCCCCGTACCTTGTTCCGAACTCCTCGATGATCCAGTCCAGCTCGGCCTGGGGAGTCATAATGTGGCCGTCCTTATGCAGTTGAAGCTGCTTTCTTTTGCTTTTGGGGGCCAGAGTTTTAACCACGAGCCAGACCTGGTGCATGTTGCCCTGTTGCGCCGCCTCTTGAGCTCGATGAAGTAACTCGTATTTCCGTTCCTTGCTTTTGGCCTTGGCACGCTGTTTATGTTCACGATGTGCCTTGGAGAAGACAGCCCACTGCCTCCAAGCCGTGACGATGCCCTGGGCCGTGAAGGTTTGAGAGCGCATAGTCCTGAACACAGACCACATGTGACGTGCACAGTTGGCGAGTTTCTCGTCTGTGTCCTTGACTGGGTTGGCCTCCGGAGTTCGGGCAGGATAGTGGGCCTGAGCCAGATCTAGTAGACCCCGCTCCAACTGTGAAAAATTGCCCCATTCAGCCTGTAGAAGATGCTGGGCAACGTCCTCGCGAAGAGCTCGTAGAGCTGGGGGAGGTTGAGGCATCCTAGTGTCAGCTATGAGCTGCTGTGTGTCAAATTTGGGGACGGATGATGCTGGTGCCTTAGGCCACTGATGTACTGGAACCGTGACCTGTGCCAGAACTGGGTGATGTTTTGCGCCGTCACGCCAGGCTGCAACTGGAAATTGGTGTAGCACTGCAGCTTGCTTGGCCTTGTGAGTGGCCTGGTCTTGTCGACTGATAATGTAGTCGATCTGAGAGGCCAACTCCCCGAAGGTGAAGGTGGCTAGCTGCCTATGTGCCGGACGACCCCAAGAATTAAGGACGGTAAGTGAGTGCACCGCCAAGATGGCCATGAAGTCACTTGAGTCCTTGTTGTGGGCCTCCGTCGACGGCATAACCCATTTGCCACAGACCTTTGGCATAGGGGTACAGGTGGTGTTAGCATCTCCTCCCAAAATCAATGTGTTTCGGGTTGGCAGTCCTTGCAGGGTGTGTCGTAGTCGAAGAAGAAATTTGTGTCGCCTTTCAGATGTGATTTTGTGATCGTTTGCAGAGTATTGGTACATATTGAGTATGTCAATGGGCTGCCTGCGATTGACCCGAACATGTAGAAGACGGCCCGGATGGACAGCATGGTACTGGATGTCATGACACTTCGGAACTACTCGAACTGAGACCATCACAAGGACGCCTCCAACTCGATCTTCTTTTGCTTCACCAGCAGAGTGCACGAAGTGGAATTGGCCTGTGCTCCAGTTACCATCGAAGGTCCATTTGGTCTCTTGTACAAGGCAGATGTCTATCGCATTATCGGCCGCAAATGTTTCCAGTTCCCGGAAAACCTGTGCATGCAACCCCCCTGCATTCCATGTCAAAGTTCTCAGACTCTGTTGTCGAGCCATTGGCCTGCTGATGCCAGGAAGTGCACGTGTATGGACAGGGACGGGCTGGAACCATCGATGTTCTCTCCATGTGCCTCTGTAGTACGACCCTCCATCTCGGCAAGCTCGTGCAAATGCTCGCCTGTATGTTCGCTTAGCACAACTGGAAATGTCCCGACTATGAATGGGCGGTTGAGCCTCCCGATGACCCACATGCTTCGCCAAATTGGCTCCAGACGTCCTAGTGGGATCGACGTCAACCCTCACATCTGCACCCGCGGAGTAACTTGGTGTGATCTGCAACCACAACAGCACACAAAAGAATGCAAAGATCATTGGTGTCCTGTGTGTGCCTCCACGAGTACGGCCGGACTTGGGACCGGCCCGGCTATCGTTGTCGGTCTCGTCGAGTGGACCTGCCGACACATATGCTGTTGGTAACCTCTGGTGCTGTGGTAGCGGAGCCTGCCGAGGTTGCTGGCGAAATCCAGTGTTCCTGACAATGGTGTGAAAGAAGAATTTGAAGCTTGTGCTGAATCTCACCCAAGAGAATCTGTATGAGGTCCCCGCGGTCATTGGCAAGAACGAGGAGATACAGTACCTGGCCATGCTGCATCTGTAAGTGCATTGTAGTAGAAGAAGCAGTAGAACTCGCGCACAAACTGCATGTATCAGCGTGAGAGAGACTTGCTGCTTTTTGTGTCCCCACCGATCAGCAAGGCTCAGCTGTCTGTGCAATCCAGAGACTGTCTTCACAGAGTGCATGCTCAGCTGGGGATTTGCTGAAGCAGTGAGGAGATTCATATCCCTCTTTAGCTCTATGCAGTAGCAGTAGCTTGCACCCCGGTACCGCCGCTCACTCGCTTCACTCAGCATACGAATGCCTGCGGAGCAAGCAAAAGAGAACAACAGTATGCTACACTGAAGAAGAAAAGCAGCCGTGTGTTCATGATGGCGGATTTGAGGCCCTTGCTTGCGCTTCCGGACAGCCTCGGGCTTCGGAGTGGGCGCCAATCTGGGTGTCGCAGCCACAGACGATCCTGTCGTAGACGAGGATGCTTCGGCACCGGCGTCATCCTCTGCAGCCTCACTGGCCCCATGCACTGGAGTCTCATCTTCATCCACATCAGCCGCTTCGCCATCCTCCGGTGCTTCGCCCTCTGGCGGGTCATCGTAGATCTCCAAGACATTTGGGTGCTCCATCTCCGTGACCGTCATAGGCCGGATGGTAACGCTCAGTGACTGAAGAGCCGGCCATCCTCTGGGCATGTAGACCAAAATTGGCCCTTGAAAGGGGCTAAGCGCCCCACCAATAGCCGCGGCGATCCTGTGAACTATTGGCTGGTCCAATTGTACAGGCTGAGGCACTGGTGGGCCAAAGGGTCCAGGACCCTGAGGTGGCTCCGGTGGCCTGCCTGCCAACGTCTCCAGTCTGTCGATCTCTTCGGAATCGGAGTCACGTACATGTGCCATCCTGAAAGCGACCAGTGCAATGAAGACAGTTGGAGCCTGATTTAGGTCGGAGCAGGCAAGTGCAAGGTTGCTGGCTATTCGGGAGAGACTGCCACGCAAACGAGTCAGCTGTGATAAGCAGGCTTCTTGACAAACATTTGCGGGGCACTGCAAGGTGGCCATCCGAGGAAGAAGACACCAAAGACTCCTGAGGATCAGATGCCAGGTGTTCGGGGGTCGCCGTTTAGGTCGTCTGCGTGGTGTCCTGCGTTTGCTGGACCTCTTGAAGTTCCATCGCTTGTACTTCTTGCCTGGACAAACTCTGAGCACCTGAGGTGAAGTCCTATGGCAGAAGCACCCGCCTCGACTAGTCCATCTCATGCAAGTCGATGCGTAAGCATGGCTTCTCCGGCTCTGTGGGCCAGAGAAAGGCAAGCCAGACAGGACAGTACAACTTGCACCACTGCTGCAGATGTGCTTCATCCGGAGGGTAGGGCGATCGTCTCGCCGCTTGCAAGACCGCTTTTGGGTGTGCGTGGATCCATTCGATGTCAAAAGCGTTGAAGTATGCAGGATCAGCCGGGTACCCGCCCGCCTTTCGAAGCATTGCGATGCCCAGCATGGTGTAGAATTGCTGTCTCTGTGGAGCTCTACCACAAAGTTCTCTTGCATATTCCTCGTCTTCTGTAAGAGGTATCTTGTTGTGGCTTCGTCGCAGATGCTTCTCGCGTATGCCACTAACATCAACCATGACAGCATATGTGCCCTTGGGGCCTCGCAGAGCCGGGAATTCTTGGTTTTTCCGGGAGCGCGGCTGCGATGGCTCACCCAAGGCGGCAGCTAGCCCTTCGGGGCTTCCGACTGAACAGCCGAGATGCTTGTAGAAGTAGAAGTAGAAGTAGAAGTAGAAGTAGAAGCAGAAGTAGAAGCAGAAGCAAAAGTAGATGTAGAAGTAGAAGTAGAAGTAGAAGCAGAAGTAGAAATAGAAGCAGAAGCAGAAGCAGAAGTAGAAGTAGAAGTAGAAGTAGAAGTAGAAGTAGAAATAGAAGTAGAAGTAGAAGTAGAAGTAGAAGTAGAAGTAGAAGTAGTAGTAATAGTAGTAGTAGTAGTAGTAGTAGTAGTAGTATTATAAGAATCTCTGCAGGCTACAGCAGGACTTGCAGTTGGAATTTCCAACCAGGGTCAGGGCATGTTGACTTGCATTTATTTTGCATTTGCGGTTTGCGTTTTTTTTGTATTTCAAACGCCTTGCGTTTTTTTTGCATTTGCGGTTTGCGTTTTTTTTGCATTTCAAAATCGCCTTGCGTTTTTTTTGCATTTGCTGTTTGCTTTTGTTTGCAGCTTGCGTTTTTTTTGCATTTCTAATTTGCTTTTAATGCAGGCTTGATTTGTTTTGCACTGCTGGTGGTGGTGGTGGTGGTGGTGGTGGTGGTGGTGGCGGTGGTGGTGGTGGCCGCGGTGCTTGCTACCAATGCACAACAAGCAACTCAAGGACCAAGTTCTGTCCAGCGCTGGGGAAGTTGTTATACTGCTTACACATCACTTGCACCGCATCCGAATGTGCCCTCAAACCCTAAACAACACTGACGGCGTGCCTCCAAGTTTGCGATCCTTTCTTTCGTGCACTGGTTGTGACTCGCAGTGCGGTGAATGGTGAACTATGAAGTAAAGTTCGCAAGAAGCCTGCATTTGCCCGGCCGCAGCAAGTTCTCTCGCAGAAATTGAGGACGACCAAAATGCAGCAAAAAATGCAATCCTGGAAGCCGCGGCCGGCCAAAATGCAAAAAAAACGCAAACCTGGAAACAGAGCCCGGCCAAAACGCAAAAAAATAATGCAAAAAAAATGCAAAAGCTTGCGGCCATTGCCGAAACCATTAAAAAGTGGAAAATTGGCCGTTTCCTGGAGCATTTGCATTTTTTTTGCATGTTGTTTGCGTTTTTTTTGCATTTTTTGCGTTTTTTTTGCATTTTTTTTGCGTTTTTTTTGCTTTTTTTTTGCATTTGCTGTTTGCATTTTTTGATGTGTTGCGTTTTTTTTGCATTTGCGATCCGCGTCCGCCACCGCTTCGTCACCCGAGTTTGAGTCACTGGATGATGCCCATCCCATGATCCGCAGTTGCCTACAGGCCTAGTGTCCTCGTAAGATAGTGTCTGAGTCCCAGAACCTAGTGACCATGGCACGTCGTCTAGTTGCAAAACCTCACAACTGTCAATTTCGAAACACTGTGGAATGACGTATTGGCTGAACACACAAAGCAAGTCAGCAACGACCAGGGACAAATCTGGATTGCTTGAGGAAAGCCGGAGAATGCAGCCAAGATTCAGGTTCATCTTCAAAGCCACAACGAAGATTTGAGGCAGCAGGCAAGCATTGTAGCGGGATTACCCACACATGCAAACCAGGAACACCAAGAACACATAGACGCCAAAAGAATGCAAACCGGGAACACAAAACAAATGCAGACTCCAAAAGCATGAAAACCCGGAACACAAAAAAATGCAAAGACAGAATAAATGCAAACACAAAACACAAAGAAAATGCAAACCCGGAACACAAAAAAAATGCAAAGACAGAAAAAATGCAAACACAAAACACAAAGCAAATGCATAGGCAAGAAAAACGCAAACCCGCAACACAAAATAAATGCAAACATAATGCAAAACATAATTCTGGTCTGTAGCCCAAAGATTCTTATAATAGTAGTAGTAGTAGTAGTGGTGGTATCGTTTGGCGATTCCGGCTCATCCTATATCTTAAATACGCCCCTCACAGGCGATTCCGCTTCATCGTATGCTTCAAAACAATCCTGCACGGCTTAAAACAGCGCGGGGGTTGGGGGGGGGGCGCAGCCCCCCCATTTGCAAACACAACGCTCGCATGATGGGCACTTCAGCATAATACAACATAGTAAACTAGTAAACCACATCAGAACGACATAAGATGGCTCGACATCCCAAAACTAGCGTGACATTTTCTGACATAACATAACATTGCTTCTTATAGCGTATAATAGCATAATAAAAAAACAACAATACAAAATTACACCAGCGAAGACTCCAAACAGAATGCATCGAATCAGGTTCAAGTTGGAATGTGTTGGATCTCAATCTGGCTTCGTTGCGAAGAAGAATTTGGCATTGGGCGAACAGTTGAGGGAATTTGTGTCCAATGTCTGCCGCTTTTTGGCTCAAACATGGATTTGGTGACTAAACTCACATCGGGGCTCCTATTAAGGTTTGTCTTAATAACAGGATTTAGACTGTCTGAGTTGGACACAGGTTAATGAAGATCCTTGCACCGCAAGGTTCCATCGGAGTCTTTAATTGGCATGAGTTAACAACACAAAGCGCATGCTCCACAACTTAATTTGATCCATCTGTTTCAATTGTGCCTTATTACTCTTGGCTGCTACCCAAGCCCGGACAACCAACAGCAGCCTGTCGAGGGAATCGACTGCGCTGAACAACCAAAAGACGTTATCTGGGAAGCAATCACCCAGGCGAATGTGGACTTTTCCATGCGCTGTCTGGTTTTAGCAGCTCTCGATGCATGTTGCAACGGGCTGCTTTGTTTGATTGTTGGAAAGAAACTGCTTGCACACGTCGAGAAAACGGTGGAACTCTGAAGCTCGATCCATAAATGTCTGTATAGTTTTCGATTTGCCTGAGATTTGGTAGTGGCTGCTTCTGATGAACTTGCTGGACTCAAAAAATCCATGGCCCACTGTTGTGTGAGCGGCATCTGGAAAGATGCGAAGACCATCGCAGGAAAGTGTGTCAGCTCAAGAACTGCCATTACGTTTCAAGGCGAGCCAAGCACAAATTTTCAGTTGGTCTTTTTCAGACATTCCGCTCATTTTGACTTCTCACGCAGGCAAGAACAGGGGAGAAAACAAGATAAGACAATCGGTCAGTGGCAAGAGTCTGGAAAAAATTATCGTGCTCCAGCTCGTCAAGTATCTGAGCCCGAATGTGCCCCTCTATGAGAATGTGGTCTCAGTGGACATTCGGACAGACGACCTCTATGACCACATGGATATCACCACCATGTTTTACTCTGAAATTGCATCCGAATGACCCGATATACTGGGGAGGCCCATTGTGGCGAAGCCAGAATTGCTTTCGTTTCGTGGGCCCAGAAACGGGGTCGTCCGCAGCATCATTTCTTGGGCTCATCCTGCTTCTATATCCACTGGAGATCAGTGTCAGTTTGCAATGTCATCGAGGTATCTCGAGGATCTTTTTAAGCCAATCGAGATCTTTGACGTTTATTAGGATGCATCGCTGCGACACGATCATCGAAGCTCCTGTCTAGGATTGCCAAGATCTATGGCTCTATGGAGTCAGCAATAGCCAATAGCTTGCAAGATCATCGAAGCTTGTTGAAGCCTTTTTCTAGCTCCAGCAAGTGGACTTGGAGCCAGCTCCGGCTTAGAATTCTCTGTAGTAAAGAAAGAAGAAAGGCAGCCCACGTGTTCGTTCAGGTCCGAGGCTTCTGGTGACCCCTTTAATACATCCGGGCCACAAACGTGTGGCTTTGAAGCCACATAAGCCACAAACGTGTGGTTTTGAAGCCACATCAAGGCCACTTAACGTGTGGTTCTCAAGCCACATCAACGTGTGGTTTTGAGGCCACATCATCTGAGCGGTCACAAGGTCCCGCTTTTTGCGAGGAGTCCCAACCGGGTCCCACCGGGCCCATCCAAGTCCCACCTTCTGCGTCACCGAATCCCGTTTTTTTGCTCGCCGGGTCTTATCCGGGTGTCACCGGGTCCCATGTTTCCCACACAAGAAGTTTCATCTGGTTGTCACGTGTCCCATACTTTGCTAGCCAGATCGAATCCGGGTCCCACCGGGTCCCACCGGGTCCCATCCGGGTCCCACCTGGGTCCACCCGGGTCCCATTTTTCTAGGGCCGGGTCCCACACCCCGTTTAGGTTTTAAAAGTTTAAATGAACGGCGAGGCGGGACCCATGCACGGTTTTTGTGCATGGAGCTGCCTTTAGCATTGTAGTCCAGGTCATGTCCCAAACGGTGTCAACACTTCTTCAGTGAAAGCATGCATGAATCAAAGCATGCTCTCGCGAAGCTCGCACTGCTTCAGCAGTTGAGGCACTCTCGTTTGCCGTGTGCTTTCCGAAGGTGGAGAAACGAGATAGAGAAGATTAGCATGGCCCCTGCGCAAGGATGACACGCGCAAGCCGAGAA